TGGCCAACTTCCCACCATCTCCTCCTCCTGATTGGCCCAGCACTGATCTGCCCTGATTGTGGCCAGGCTGACTGGGCCCCACCCATGCATGAATTTGTGCAGTGGGCCTCTAGTTAATTTATATATAACAAAGGAGGCAAGAGCATAAAATAGAGTCAAGACAGTCTCTTCAATAAATGGTGTTAGGAAAACGGGACAGATACATACAAAAAAATGAAACTAGACCACCAACTTATACCATAAACAAAAATAAACTCAAAATGGATAAAGGGCTTAAATATAAGATAGGAAACCATAAAAATCTTAGGAGAAACCATAGTCAGCAAAATATCAGACATATGTCATAGAAATATCTTCACTGACACAACTCCTAGGGCAATAGAAACCAAGGGGAAAATAAACCAATGCAACAATGTCAAAATGAAAAGTTTCTGCACAACAAAATAAATCAACAAAACAACAAGAAAGCCCACTGCATGGGAAAATTGCCAATGTTATATCAAAAAAGGGTCTAATCTCTAAAATTTATAAGGAACTCATACATCTTTAAAAAAAGGAAGATAAATAATGCAATAAAAAAAAAAAATGGGCAAAGGACCTGAATGTCTTTTTGAAAGAGGACATACAGAAGGTCAAGAGACATATGAAAACATGCTCAAAGTCACTAATCATCTGGGAGATGCAAATCAAAAGGACAATGAGGTACCATCTCATACCTGTCAGAATGGCTATCATCATCAACCATTCAACAAACGACAAGTGCTGGAGAGAATCTGAAGAAAAAGGAATCCTTGTGCATGGCTGGTGGGAATGCAGACTGGTGCAGCCACTGTGAAAAACAGTATGGAGTTTCCTCAAAAAATTAAAAGTGGAACTTCCATTTGACCCAGTAATCTCACTTCTAGGAATAAATACCAAGAAATGAGAAACTCCAATCAGAAATAATATAGGAACCCTTATGTTCATAGCAGCACAATTTACAATATCTAAGATTTGGAAACAGCCAAAGTGGCCATCTGCAGGTGAGTGGATTAAAAAGCACAGTGCAATACTACCCCGTGTGAGGTCCCTCCAGGTACAAGGTGGGCATCAGGGCTGAGAAGTGTGACTACCGCAGGGACTCCCTGCAAGGGAAGAAGGGCGTGGAGAAGGATGGCCACCATCGCTGCCTGAGGTGCTTTGACAAGTTGTGCGCCAACACCTGTGTGGAATGCCGTGGGCCCACCGGTGTGGACTCTAAGGAGGTGCACTATAGAACCGCTGCTGGCACGAAACCTGCTTCCACTGTGCCCAGTGCCTGCACCCCTGTGCCAAAGAAACTTTTAGGTGCACAGAGGTCAACAAGGTTCTGTGCAACCAGTGCACCACTTGGGAGGCCTCCCCCAAGTGCAAGGGCTGCTTCAAGACAATTGGGGCAGGAGATCAGAATGTGAAGCACAAGCGGGCAAAGACTGCTTCACCTGCAGCTTCACCTGCAGCCACTGCAAGCAAGTCATTAGCTCTGGAAGATTCTTCACAAAAGGGAAGGATTTCTACTGCGTGGCTTGCCATGAACCCAGACTTGCCAAGCATTGCTTCAAGTGCAACAAAGCCAGCACATCTGGAGGACTCACTCACCAGGATCAGTCCTGGCATGCCGAGTGCTCTGTCTGCTACCTGCTCTAAGAAGCTGGCCAGGCAGCATTTCTCCACTGTGAAGGACCAGCATTACTGTGTGGATTGCTACAAGAACTTTGTGTCCAAGAAGTGTGCTGGATGCAAGAACCCCAACACTAGGTTTGGTAAAGGCTCCAGTGTGGTGGCCTATAAAGGACAATCCTGGCACGACTACTGCTCCCACTGCAAAAATATATATATGCTCCGTGAATCTGGCCAACAAGCCCTTTGTTTTCCATCAGGAGCAGGTGTATTGTCCCGACTGTGCCACAAAGCTGTAAAGTGACAGGAGCTCCTGTCCTGTAAAATGGAATTGAGTCTTGTTATCTGCGTCCTCACCCTCTGCCCCATACCATCCATTGGGGAAGAGCAGCCTTTCACCTCTTCAAAGTTGTTCCTATCTTTTACAGTGTTACTCAAATAAGGGCAAAACCAACTCCTCAGAGAAGTTAATTTTGCAATGGCTGCATTTAAAAAAAAAATGAACATGCAGATGGACTCTTCTGCATGCTCATCATAGAGCAGAAAAGAGCTAACCATTTAGCCACTTAGGGGTGTAAGTAACAAGCCTAAGAAATAAAGCCCCCCATTGAGATGCCCTTCGTGACTCAGCTGGGACCCACCGTGCCATCACACGACACATAAGAGTTGTAGTGGCTGTTTCAACTCACTGCTCACCCTGTGTTCTGTGAACAGAAAGAGAATTTACCAAAATGCACGGTGTATCTTCCTCATCAAAGCCTTCATTCTGTTCTTTTGTGCTTCTGATCAACTAATATTTCTAGAAAATTAACATTGGAACTTAGCTGTGATTCTAAACCGACCTTTCCCTTGTACTAACATTTGAGTTCCTCGTGTGCCATGTTTTCTGAACGTTCCTCCTTTCAATCATGAAACATGCAGGCGATGTGGAACTACGTGTAGGCAGATCTGAGAGAATGAACCTGTTTCAGAGGAACATCGTCACTGTAAATACTTCTGGAAGCTTAATAAAACTAACCCAGCTGTCAGGTATGTTTTTAAATTAATAACATTTTGTTTTAATTGATAGTGACAAGATTATGGGTTTGGAGACTTGCATGAAAATATTTTAGCCCCCGCAAACGTTCCTGCAATTTGAAATCATCCTATAGAAGTAGCCATAAATCTCTAGAAGGGTAGCTGAGCAGGCATCAGAACTGTCATTGACATGGATGTAACATTTCCAAACAGTGGCAAGTTGAATCCCCTGTAACATGGTAGTTGCTCTTTTTTTTTTTTAATATATTTTATTGATTTTTTACAGAGAGGAAGAGAGAGGGATAGAGTTAGAAACATTGATGAGAGAGAATCATCGATCAGCTGCCTCTTGCACACCCCCTGCTCGAGATGTGTCCGCAACCAAGGTACATGCCCTTGACCGGAATCAAACCCAGGACCTTTCAGTCCGCCTGCTGACGCTCTATCCACTGAGCCAAACTGGTTTCAGCAGGAGTTGCTGCTCTTTTGTTGATTTGTTAAAGAGGTTCACCAATGTCTCTTGTGATTCTTAAGGCTGTTCCTCAAGAGGTTAGCTTGATTTCTGGGGGAGTGGGAGGTCACCGTCCTCAAAGGCAGATTTCCATGTAGTGCTTACCTGAGATGCCGGATCACCTGCTTATCATTTCTATCTAATTGTTATATTACATAATAGAATGAGATGATATCAAAGTGAACATATGATAATACATATTCACATTATTGTAGCTATGGTTAGAGAAGCTGATGCCTCATTTCTACATTTTATCATTAGCTAATATCATCTAATGTTTCAGTATATCCTTGCAGAAATAAAAATAGCATATAAATAAAAAATAAAAAAACTTATTGTGTGCTGGAGGCTAATTCCAGCAGGTCATAAATGCAAGAAGTTCATCAAAAGATTGATGGAACTTGGGGCTTCAGCAGGATTGAAGACTTACATATATTATTTATTGCCTGCTGCCAGACAGCTGAGGGAAATTTCCCCAACCTGATAATCTTTTACTGTTTATCAAACTTTACCTTTGATATGTATATCTGCTTTGCTTTAAGGCAACATGTGTTAATAAAAAGCTAGGGGTCCAGACATTCAGGGAGCTTAGTCACTAGAACTAAGTTTCTGTCCCCCATGCCTTTTAAATTCATATTTCTTCTCTATCCTCTTCATTCATTTATGCACAGCCCCCTTTCCAGATTCCTGAAGCCTAGTAGATGCTGAGAAAGACTCTGGCAATTGTGCACTTTATATATGTTCAATTTATTGTAAGTCTGTTAATAAAAGAAGATGTCTCTTGTGTTCCTAGGAATGATAGATTTAAAAAAAATAAGATTGGTGCTAGATTATGTGTCAGAGGATGAAAAGGCTAAACAGTGGGAGAAAGTGGTAAAAACACGAAAAATAGAAGAAATATTTCTAATTATATTTGTTTCTGTTCAGTGATATTTTCATACCTGGTTCAGTTTGTTTTATAATTGATTGTCATTTGTTTTTGGTTTTGTATGTGTCTGCATTATAGCACAGTACAACAGAATTTAGAAGTGTTTATCAATAAAAGGTATGTACTTTAGTGAAAAAAAAAAACACACACACACACACAACTATTTTTCCCTCTGGGCCATCCTACTAGTGAATCTAACAAATACATATTAAATGTATTAAGCTATCCTTTGGTAGAGAAAAGATGAAGAAATAACTAATTCAGGAACTGATACTTAATTGTAGATGAGGTCACAGAAAAGACCACCCAATTTCTAATTACTTTCTAACATGAAGATATGTGTGTGTGTGTGTGTGTGTGTGTGTGTGTGTGTAAGCAAGAGAGTCTGGAGATAGACCACGATTTCAAAGACCAACAAATGGTCACCTTTAACATTGAGAACATGTGTTGCTGAATTCCAGGATGACCTTTCCCCTTTTCTGTTTCTTCATGCGCTGTTTCCCATGCATGATTCCTCTTTATTGCCCTCTATTTGCAGTTGGGCAACTCTTCTCTGTTCTATCTTCTGTGCAGTTTTAGGAGGGCGAAGGGATGATGGCATTGAGGTAGAGAGGGTTCCAAGATTTGGAGAGGAACAAAACTTAAAAAAAAAAAAAAAAAAAAAAAAAAGAGGGACCAACCAAAGGCTGGTTGGGAGGCTTCGGACAAGCTAAGTGAAAAAATGTGGTCAGAACTTTTGTTATAAAGGTACCAGGCACTGGAGTCCACTTTCTGTAAAGAGCTCTACAGTCAGCTCACACCTGTTCTTGGGCGGCTCACAGTTTGCAACCCAGTGAGGAAGAATAGCTTAAATTCCAGAAGAGAATTTAAAGATGGCCTCTTCGCTTTCTTCCGGAGCCTTCAAATTCACTGAGCTCTCAACAAAGTCGCCTTCTTCTGACATATACTGTATGCAGTTAAAATGCAGCCCTCAGCAAAAACGTTTCCACCTTGTATATACACGCAGGTGTCCGAAGGATTCTTCTGGGAAAGAGCTCCCCTCAATCTAAACCTGTAGGCGGGGACACAAAAGAAAAGTAGATTACTGCCACCTAGTGGCAGGAATGTAGTCTTGTCTCAGATTTTTAAATCTCTAATGAAAGTGGGAAGGAAAACTCCAGAGAAGCATAGGGCCCCCTGTGAGAGGAAACTCTCAGAAATCCCCAAGCTTCTCTCTGGCAAGAAGAGCACAGCGTGTGGAATGCTGTGGTAACTTCTCTAGTGGGTTCAGCAAAGAAGGGAAAACTTACACGTTGGGCATCAAAGGAGAACCATCCTCCCAGAGCCATGAGGAGCTTGGTTTTCTCTTAGTTAATCCCGTCCAGAATGGGGCATTGGAATGAGCAGTGAGTTGTTTGATGAATTCCTGTGGGGAGCAACATTTCTGAGTTGGTGTTGGAGTTCGGTGGGGTTGTTTCACAGATTCACAAAACGAAAGAACCAAAGAAGATCTTTGACATCGTCTCCATGGTTTTACAGAAAGGTTTACTGAAACCTATAGATACTCCATAACCTGTCCATCAAAGGTCATGTATGGAATTCATGGCTAGGCTAGTACATAGGTATTCTCATTCTCAAACAAGGGCTCCTCCACCCAGGGCCTAAGCCTGATTTATTTCCCTCTGAACCAATACACCACCTTAGCACACATCCATGAAAACTCACCAGATCATATGTGCTATTAATTATCAGCATCTGGGCATCCAGAGACAAGCAGTTCCCCCGGCTTGTTTCCCAATTAAATGAACTAGAGGAAAATTGGTAACAGTTTTTTTCATGCCAGAGCCAGTCTTGGGGACAAGGACCTAGGAAGTGTAGAATATATAATCAGTAGAGTTATGCCTGAGAAAAACATTTCTATAATTTATTAAAAACATTTTTTCCTATAATTCTTAAATCAAGTCTCCCCTCAGAATTCTTCATAGATTATACACAGTCTCTGCAAATACCCCCCTTTTATTGAAGTAAAAAAAAAAAAAGCATTTTGATTTTAGTAGACTAAATTAGAAGTAAGGCAGCTAAAAAGCAAAGCTTGGGCTGTGATGTAATTTTAGAATCTGCTCTACTTTTTTAAAGATAAGTTTGGAATAATGGAAGTGAACATTAGGGAAATGAATACTTAATAGTTATTCTGCTATTACAAGGTATGCTTGTGTGTTTTAAAACTTCATGTCTTTGAATAGTGGGTTTAGGCTTAAATACCATGCCTCCTTATTTAAGACACTTGCTGTATATGTAAGTAGCCCATAGGTGGCTCTTGATTACTTGAATTGTGGCTAGTCTGCTTTAAGATGTGCTATTAGTGTAAAACACAGGCATAATTTTGAAAATTTAGTATGAAAAATCATATGAAATAACCTATTAATAATTTTTATATTGACTAGTGTTCAAAAACTATTTCACCTTTAGCTGCATCGGTTCAATGGATGGAGGGTCAGTTGTGGAATGAAGGGTCCTGGGTTCCATTCAGGTCAAGAACAAATGCTCGTTTGTGAGCTCAATACCCAATAGAGAGCATGTAGGAGGCAGCAAATCAATGATTCTCATCAATGATGTTTCTATTTCTCTCTCTTTCTCTCTCTCTCTCTCCCTTAATGAAATCAATAAAAATATATTTTAAAAATAAAATAAAGTTACACTTTAAATAAAAATAAAGATGTTCTAGGCAGGGAGAACACTATATTGACATAAAGTGAGCAACTTAATTTTAGTAGTATTTCAGGAAACACAGATGTTTCCATTGCAAAATCCTCAGAGGATGAAAACCTCAACTGAGGACTTAGGCAATATTTACCAATGTCTATATGTTTATGGATATATTTTTTATTTTTTAATATATTTTATTGATTTTTTTTAACAGAGATGAGGAGAGAGGAATAGAGAGTTAGAAACATTGATGAGAGAAAAATATCAATTAATCAGCTGCCTCCTGTGCACTCCCTACTGGGGATGTGCCCGCAACCAAGATACATGCTCTTGACCAGAATCAAATCTGAGACCTTTGAGTCTGCAGATCGACACTTTATCCACTGAGCCCAACCAGTTAGGGCTGGATATATTTTTTAAATAAGGTTTTTTAAATTGATTCCAGAGAGAGGAAATAAGAGGGAGAGAGGGATAGAAAATTAAGTTATCCATGACTGGCATCTCTGGAAGATGGCTCTGCATGACCCTGATGAAATTTAATCTCATGCAACTGATGAAAACAAACTGTTTTTACAGACCCACTGTGAAATAAATCTTTGGCTGGAATGTAGCTATGTCTGTTTATGTAAACATTCATATCCTTAATATACTAGCCTTCTTCCTTTAAGCCTTCTTTGTCATGGGATATTCTTTATATCCTTGATAAGTCCCTTATTAAAAAGATTAAATATGTTTGACGAAAGCTAATTTTGTCTAAAAATTTCTGGTGATTTTGGAAGTTTAAATAACCTTAAAGCCTGGCCAGTGTTGCTCAGTGGTTGAGCATCAATCTATGAACCAAGAAGTCACAGTTTCTTTCCCAGTCAGGGAACATGCCTGGGTTGTGTAAAGGGGGTTGCAGGAGGCAACCGCTCAATGATTCTCTCTCATCATTGATGTTTCTATCTCTCTCTCCCTCTCCCTTCCTCTCTGAAATCAATAAAAATATATTTTAAAAAATTAAATAGCCATATAAATGTTAAATGGATTAATAAACTGCAAAATTTTATACAAAACAAGTTATTATTATTTAACTTATCTGAATTTAAAGTTTTCATCTATAACATAAAGAAATCTGTGGTTATCTGTGGACTCTTATTACTTAATATCCAAAGAAATCACATGGTTAAGATTAAATGAGCTTTATAAGCAAGAACTGGAGATATCACCAAAACCAGTTTGGTTCAGTGGATAGAGCGTCGGTCTGTGGACTGAAAGGTCCCAGGTTCGATTCCAGTCAAGGGCATGTACATTGGTTGTGGGCACATCCCCAGTAGGGGGTGCTCAAGAGGCAGCTGGTCGATGTTTCTCTCTCATCGACATTTCTAACTCTCTATCCCTCTCCTCTCCCTTCCTCTCTGTGGAAAATCAATAAAATTTATTAAAAAAAAAAAAAAAAAAGAACTGGAGATATCTCTTTTTACTAATGATAGTTAATTAACCTGTTAACCGAGCGGGACATATAAATATGTCAAACATAAACAATATCAGGTATGGGTAGGACATATGAATATGTCCTTGAGATATATGTTGCGTCCTGAAATGGGCGGGATGTATATTTCCGAACAACAAAGGTATTTGTCATCCATACATGTCTCCACATGAATTTAAGACACAGAGGGAATCAGTATAATTTTGCTAGTGAGAGTGGTGGACGTGTTCAACAAGAATTGTTTTGGAGTTAACACATGACTTACTGAATAAAGGGTATAAGATTTTCTTAGATAATTTCTATAGGTCAATTCATTTGGCTGAACTCTTGTGTCAAAACAACACAGACATTTTTGGAACAATGAGGATAAACAGAGTCGGAATCCCCAGTGAAATAAAAACAAAAAAATTACAGAAAAATGAACATATAGTAAGATTCAAAGACAAACTTATGGTTTTAAAATGGAAGGATAATAAAAGACGTATTGATGCTCTGTTTTATTCATAATGACAAAAAGACAATGATTGAAAAGAGAAGAAGGCAAGAAAAACCGAATGTTGTCCTGGATTATAACAAGAATATGGGCAGCGTAGACTTGGGAGATGGAGTTATGGTGGCCTACATGGCTGCCCGTAATAGGGTAAAAAAATTTTATTAAAAAATTTTTTCTACTATTAATTGATATGTGCTGCTTCAATGCATATATTATATACAAAAAAGGATAAAGGTCATTTGGATCGATTATACTTTTTGATAGAGTGTGTAGAGAAATTGGTAGATAATAACATAGTGAAAACCTACCCAAACACATCAACAAGCAGCTCTACATCTAAACCATCACGCTTAGTTGAAAGGCATTTTCCAGAACAAATGAAAAGCGATATAGGAAAAACTAAATCCAGAAAATGCCAAGTTTGCTACAAGAAAGGTATTAGGAAAGAATCTACATACTGGTGTCTGGATTGTAAGGTAGCACTATGTATCAACAATTGTTTTAAAATATATCACATGGAAGTTGAGTTTTGAATTTTTACATCTATATTTCAATTTTTTAAACTCAATATTTCTATTTTATTTGTGTGCTTTTGTTTATTGTTCTGTAATTGCTAACTTTTTAATATTTTTATTGTGTATCGAAATAAAAAATATATATTTTTTGTAATCTTTATAATTGTTGTAATCTTTATAATATGTCATTAAGCACAGGCTTAATGACATATTATAAGAAGGCAAAATAAATCAGATAATTTCTATAACAACCTGAGTTCACATTGTTGTCTCTTTCTTATAGATGCTACTACCTCTACCTGAGTCCATTTTATAGCTGAGATCAATTCAGTTCTTCTCATATAAACTAACTTCTTGGGCCCATTATATTTTTGTCTAATTTGAAGTATCTACCCAACACTTCCAAGCCACTCTATCTTCATTGATTCCATTTAGATTGATGTAGTATTCTTTAAGAAATTTTTCCATAGAACAAAGTTAATGCAGGGGTAGGAGTTCTAGGGACAAAGGACATTGTTTAGGAAAAGAAAAAAAATGACTGAGATACATGGGAATGAAAGCAGATAAGAATCTGTAGCAAGGGATAAGGGAAGAAGAATTCATCCAGAAAAATCTCAAAACTAGAATTTTAAAATAGGAGAAGACTCTTATGAGGAAAACAAACTTAAATTCACCAAAAGTGTACTTAATGGAATCAGATATCTCAAGAATTTGAGGGTGGGTAGGGTGGGGATGACAGAATTAGAGAACTTCTGGTGTAGATTATGAAATGAAGTTATAACATTATGTAAATAGCTAGAGGCCCCGTGCACCTTAGCCTGGCCTGTGGGGATCGGGCCAAAACTGGCTCTCCTGAGTGGTCCTGGATTTCGAGAAGGTGCAGGCCAGGTACCAGGCCTCCAGTACGGATAGAAGATCTTTGGTTAATCTCTTCCTCCCTCTCCCCCCATCCCTCTGAGATTCATCAGTCTGTTCCATGTTTCCATGCCTGTCGTTTCCACTCCTATGTTGATCGTCTGCCCTGTTGGTCAGTGCACATCCTAGTTTCCAGGAAGATGGTCAAATGGTTGGCCAATCACTTAGGCTTTTATATAGAGAGAGATGATACACATATCAATATGCCAATTTTGTGCCTGGAGGCTTTTCCAAAAGAGAGTTAAGATTAATTAGAGGAGCTTCCAACCTCGTACCTGAAAAATTTGCTGCTTTTTTCAGATCTTCTTGGAGATTCAGGTTCTGGTGAAGAAGTTCCATTTGTTTTTTGGATGTCTCATCCAACTCCTGGGTAAGGTTTGCAATCGTTCCCTTGAGTTTCCTCTGTAATTCAAGGGAAGCCTTTTCCTCCTGTTTCTGGGCTAAACTCTGTCCCTCCAGTATATTTTCCTGCTGAGTAAGGTTTGCTTGCTGTTGCTTTAGAAGATCAGTCACCTGGGATACTAAATGATAGCTGGATTAAGAAAGACTTCAATAAAAGTCCCTCCACTGGTATTTAATAAATAAAAGAACTAAGTCAAATAATAATATTTTGATAACAGATAAATTGCTGAAGAATGACCAAAATTTACTAAAATGTTATGGATTTGAAAGTTCTTTGATAGTCCTAGAATTTTTTATATATATATCAGGAACTGTCACAGACACTTGTGATTAAAAAAATTATCAAGGTTTTATGTGTTACTGACAGTTACACACAAGTAACACACAAGTTACAAACAAATTACACACAAGTTACACACAGTTACAAGTTAAAAGCAATCCCAAGATAAGTACCAATGGCACTAATAAAATGTAGACAATCTACAAATAGTCACCAACCAGAATTAATGACTATTAGCAGGAAAGTCATTAATCATGTACTATATTTGTGACTTCATTCCTCTGCCATCTTTTTCTACATTTTCAGACTTCCAGATTTTATTCAAAAACTATGATGCCCCTTTTTTTAAGAAACCTTCCTGCAGGACTATTTTAAGTGGCTGTGTCACAAGAGTCTCAAACATTTTTTTTTTATTTTTTTTTTTGCCACAGCATATTTTAGGAAGGGTGGAGATGCAATAACAGTTGTGAAATCAAGGAGGCAAAAATATGTTAAGGGCCAAATATCTCAGTTCTAGAAGCTTGATGCTTCAGTACAGAGCAGTCTCCTTGCCTTGCAGACCAAGTTTGAACTTATTGTAAAGTAATCAGAGCCTCTGAGAAAGACTCTTCCAATCACCACCACTGGTCAAAGACACTTCTCCCATCATCAGGTAAGGCCTTAGTGTTACATCAATTGAAAAATAAATGGTGGTGACCATAAACAACAATTGAAAAACAAATAGCACTTGAAAAAGCCTTAATACCTGGGCTAGAGAGCCAAAATAACTCAGATCTACAATCTCAATATAGAGGTGGATGAGGTGGGTACTTGACATGATTTTCTTTCTGTCATGGCCAATTTCATTCTTCTGTCATTTCTTTTCCCCCAAAATAACCTCTTTCCAAAATATCCATACAATAAATTTGAAGTATTTTATTAAAATGTTGTACTTATTAAAATTTTGTTTCCGGTTCTTAACTTTAAATTGGCATTTAATCATCTCTATTAAAACTCAACATGAGCTAAATGAGGTTTCTTTTACTTTTGGTTCTCTCAGATGATCTTGTGGATAATTAGTTTCAAATTATTTTCATTCTCATTGTATTAGGATTTATGAAGGCTCTATCCATGAAGTTATGAAAATTAATCAAAACAAAAACCTACAATTCATAATTCATAATCTTCATTCTATGTCACAATTTGAGAGACTAGCACAATATACCCATTCATCTTCCCACTCACTCTAAAATAGAGTTTGCTTAAAATATATCTAAGTCAAGGTTGTTTATAGGTATTCTGAAACCAATTTACAAACCATGTTTATAAACTCTGATCTTTTCCCTCCATTGCTTCCTTGTGTTGGCACTTACATTGCATTGACAGCAATATGATGGACACCAGTAAACCCACACAAAGGATCCCCAGCGTCACAGCCACAGGGCACCACCAGTGAGAAGAAAGACAACGAAGACCTAGAATGACAGAGAATATAATCAGAAAAACAAAACAAAAAAGATGGAGACAAGTAATCAAACCATTCTTTGGATCTTATAAACTGGTATACCTGGTACTTTGCATTACTTACCTTTAGGCCTCCCAAAGACTCTGCAAATGATACATTATCCATATTTACAGATGAAAACTCTGGACAATTAAAGAGCTTAAATAATTTAGTCACTGACACAATTGAAGATCTAGGATTCAATACCAGATATTTGACTCTAAGTATCTGATTCTAAAGCTTACACTTTGTCTACTCCCCATGACAATGAAATTCTCGGTCCAGCTTGGTCAGATCAACTTGTTTTCAATGTAGACCAAATCAGTGTGTGCACGCATTAGCACGCACACACACACAGTGTGTCTTATAATAACATAACATATATACGAATATCTGATGTTAAGCAAATAAGCTTTAGTCAATTAACTGGTATTATCTCAAAGAATTACAACATAATTTTGTGCTATTCAACTCTTCCTTAAAAGTACATCTTGAAATTGAGATTACTGGGCAAAGAAAACTAGAAATGAAACCTCAATAATCATTTGACTCATATTAATGCCATGTTCTATACTTACACCAGCTGTGGCCCTATTGTTTTAAGAAAAATACTCACTATTAATATAGAAACAAAATTATGTAACTCATATAGTTGTGTACGACTAATTATGCGTTCTACCACTAAAAAAACACAGATATTTTGGTTCAGCAGGAAAACATCTTATATAATGTATTTGGATTTCTCATTATGTGAGATAAATAAGGCACCAATGTTACCTTGTATATGCAAATAAGGAAACTGAAAAATTTAGTGACTTGCTAAGATCACACAGACATTAAGATCCCAACTTAGGTCTTTATCCAGTATAAACATGTAATGATATACATCAATCAACCAATGGTCAAATATATTCACAGAGCTCTCTCATGTGTCAAAATCAATTTTGGATGATGTGAGGAGAGAAAACGGCAGTCAAATAGGCAGACCTTTTTTTTTTTTTTTTAATTGATTTCCGATAGACGAAGGGAGAGGGAGAGAGAGAGAAACATCAATGAGAGAGAAGAGAATCATGGATAGGCAGACCTTTCTTGTACCTCCTCCAAGGGCAAGAATGGAAATAAAGCTAAAGTGAGGAACATACACCTGGAATTACCAACTGAGGTCCAGCTGAGGAGGAGACAGAAAACACCTGGAGACCAGTAGGAAGGGCAAAATCCTGAGAGAGGCTGACCCAACTGTCCTGAGGCAGGCCAAGAGTGAGGAAGGATCACTACTGGAGGGTCTTTTCCCTCAGATGACAGAGGCCCAGAACCTAGTCTGGGCTCCACAGTTCGAAGCACCACACCCAAGACCAGCGGCCCATGTACTATCCAGCTATGAAAGGCGACAGAGCTGTGGGCTGCAGCAGAGACCAGAGCCCATAGACCAGAACCAGTCCAAGAGAAAAACCTCAGTTTCTGTCTCCTCCCTACTCCCTCCAAACTCCCCCCAGAGTATATGAGCTTTCATTTGTAGCTACTCACCCAAGGCTTTGGTGCAGGGACTGCGGCGTGGACTCGAGGTGACTAAGGAGAGGGTGGAGTGGGAAGCAGTGGGGGGAGACATGGAGAAGCAACCGTCGGGAGTGCTGCCTTCCGTTACAGGCTCCCAACCTGAAAGGGCCATTTTTTCCTGGGGAGAAGATAGCTGCTTCCAATACCTGAAGCTCTGGCAAAGGAAAAACTCTTCCCTAGGTGATATAGCCTGCCCCACCCTCAGGAGCCCTGACTGCCACACCCTGCAGCTTGACGTTTGCAAAGGAGAACACTACAGAGGCCCTAGCCTGCGGGTCTGAACAGTCACAAGGAGTGTCTGTGACTGGGTTGGGGGTGGGGCCATCTGCCCCATTATCCCCAGAACCTGACTGGTGCCTTCCCTGCGTGGGAGAGCTGATAGAAACTCCAGATTTCCAGATTTCCAGCTGATCTCACTGGATTGCATACAAGGCTCTCTGCTCAGCCAAAGGCAGAGTATATTCTGAGCCACTCCCCGGGGAATAGCTCTGGGACAGTGACACATATTTACCGCTTGCCCTGAATATGAACAGCACCTCCCCCTCATGGGAGACCCGGAGGTCTAGATTCCTGATTCTGCCTACAGCCCTTCCAGAAAAAGATTTTTTCAGTGATTAAGAATAAAGGCTGTCAAGCAAAGGAAGGCAGAGGCAGAGTCTGGAGAACCTGAGGAAGCTTACTGGCTCAGACCTGCACCCCATGCTGCTAACAAACCTACTTTATGGGACAGCTTGACCCCTCCTGCATGCAACCAAGTCCCATGGAGACAGACATAAACTGTGTGTCACTTGGAACTTCAAGCAGGTTGGTGAAAGCCAAAGGAGGACAGTTTCTGACAGTGCAAATACCTAAGCATCTTCCAGGAAGCACAGAATTGGCAGACAGAGCAGTCAGTCAGTCATCAGAAGGACAGGATCCAAAGGGAGATCCCAGAAGGCACTAAATTCTGTTGAGATGAATAGCATTTCACCTTTTTTTCTTTCTCTCCCTCTCCCCGCACTCCCCCATTCAAACACATGGAGGCTAAATAGCATGTTATTAAACAATGAATGTGTTGCCAAAAAGATCAAGGAAAAAATAAAAAAAATAAAAACTTATGGGAAATAAATGAAATTGAACACACAACAACCCAAAATCTATGGGACGCAGTGAAAGCAGTCATGACAGGAAAGTTCATAGCCTTACAGGTCTACCTCAAAAAACAAGAAAATCTTCTGATAAATGATTTAAACCTACAACTTAAATAATTAGAAAGAGAATAACAAGAAAACCCCAGAGTAAGGATAAGGAAGAAAATAAAGATCAAAATGACATGGAGACTAAAATAAAAACAATACAAAAGATCAGTGACACCAAAAGCTGGTTTTTGAAAAGATGAACAAGATTAATTATAGTCAGACTCATCAAGAAATAAAGAGAAAGGACCCAAATAAATAAATAAAAAATCAGAAATGAAGAGGTGAAGTAACAACTGACATTACAAAAATACAAATGATCATACAAAAAATACTATGAACATGCCCAACCAGCATGGCTCACTGGTTGAGCATCAACCAGGAGGTCATGGATCGATTTCAGGTTGTTGGCTTGATTCCCAGCGTGGGATGTGCAGGATGCAGCCAATCAATGATTCCCTCTCATCATTGATGTTTCTATCTCCCTTTCTCTTTGAAATCAATGAAAATATTTTTAAATGCTTGAACAATTATATTCCAACATGGTGGACAACCTGGACAAAATGAACATATTCCTAGAAAAATATAATCTTCTAAAACTGAAACAGAAAAAATGAATGAGAAAACCTAAATAGGCTGATAACTATTGATGAATTTGAAGCAATAATAAAAAATATTGATGAATTTGAAGCAAACAAAAGCTCTGGATCAGATGGATGGTTTCATAAGGGAGTTTTACCAAACATTCAAAGAACTAACATCTATACTCCTTAAACTATTCCAAAAAATCCAAGAGGAAGTAACACTTCCAACCTCTTTTTATGAGACCAGCATTAGCCTAATTTTAAACCCACATAATGACACTAAGAAGAAAGACAATTCTAGGCCAATATCCCTGCTGAATATAGATATTAAAATCCTCAACAAAATATTAGCTAATTGGATCCAGAAATACATTTAAAATATCATACTCCATGACCAAGTGGGATTTTTTTTAAAAGATGCAAGTCTGATACAATATTCTCAAATCAATACATGTGATACATCACATAAACAAATTGGAAGACAAAAATCACATGGTTATAGATACATTGTATAAACAAATTAAAAGACAAAAATCAATTGATACAGAAAAAGCACTTAATAAAATCCAACATACTTCTTTTTATAAAAACTCTCAACAAAGTGGAAATAGAGGGATCATACCTCCACATAATAAAGGCCTAATATGACAAACCTACAGCCAGCATTAGATTCAATGGGAAAAAAATAAAGCCATTTTCCCTAAGAACAGGAATAAGATAGGCATGTCTGCTTTTAACACTCTTATTTAATATAGTTCTGGAAGTTCAGATAAGAAGAAAAAATAAAAGGCATTCAAATTGAAAGGAGGAAATAAAACTATCATTATTTGCAGATGACATGATGTTGTACACAGAAGACCCTAAAGGCTCCACCAAAAAACTATGAGATTAAATAAACAAATTCAGCAATGTAGCAGTATACACAATTAACATCTAGAAATTTATGGCATTTTTATATACTCTCAGAAAGAGAAACTAAAAAAAAAAAATAATAATAAAAGAATTCCCAGAGCAACAGAGGCCAGGCCCGGAGCATCCAGGCCCGGAACAGCTCGCTCCTCACCTATCCCTGCCCCAAGGCTGCCTCTCAGACATGGCTGAAAACTTTTGCGAGAACTTGAGGGTCTGCTGAATCAAGTGATGAAGGCTTAGATCTAGATGTGTTGAGTTAGTATAGCGCTGGAGTGTTGAACTGTGAGTGCCTTGTGCGGGGCCTGGATGAGGTTGGTTGACCTATTTGGAAATGTCTTTTGTGTGAAGTGTATCTTTGGGCATGTGGAGGTATTATTGATATGAGAAAATGCTAAGTAACTGAGTTACTATCTGAAAAAGGATTTACTATCGGGGAAAGGGAGGGAGGAAGAGACTGAACATAAACTGTGCACCTATGGATGAGGTCAATGGGAGAGGGGAAGGGGGCAGAGGGTGGGGTGGGAACCTGGTGGAGGGGGGAAGAAATGAGGAACCTTTGTAATAATATGAACAATAAAGATTGATTTTTAAAAATAAATAAATAAAAATTAAAAAAAGAAAAAGAATTCCTTTTACCATTGCAACAAAAAAAATTTAACCAAGGAGGTAAAGAAATAAACATAACCAAGGAGGTAAAAGGCTTGTATCCAGAAAAATACAGAAATTTGAAAGAAAAAAAATAGGTAGAGGAAAATATAAACAAGTGGAAGAATAAACCGTGTTCATGAATTGGTGGACTGAGACATAGAAGCATGGAACAGACTGATGAACTCCAGAGGAAAGGTGGGGATGGAGTAGTGGGTGGGGAGAGATTAACCAGGGAATTCATATGCATATATGCATAACCCCGTGGACACAGACAATAGTGTGGTGAAGGCCTCAGAAGGGCAGGTGCAGGGTGGATGGGGTCAATGAGAAAAAAACACAAAGGGTACATCTGTAATACTTTCAACAATAAAGATAAATAATAATGAAAATCATTTCTGTTAGGCTCTATAGATAATGCAAACAAGACAGCAATTTTGACAGGAAGGAATGTGGTTCATTTCTTAAGCTCCTAAAGTGTATGTGGCAAGTTAGCAGAGAAGAAGTAGAAAATAATTGTGGCTTATGCAAATAATTGCCTAATCCTACCCTCAGGGGCAAATATCTGTGTAAATCTTTCAACCAACATGTTCCTTGGTCTGTATCTGTTCTATAAAGGTATACAGTGTAGGTGATCAAGTATGTCCAACATTCTTGGGTGTTGGGTGAAACTCCTGAATTTTTAAAAGTCACAAGTTCACTCCAGGGCAGGGAAGGCACATGTCCCCATTTTCTGTTTTCCACCCTTTGTCCTGTCTCCATGGTAGGTAGAGACTGTTCATCCAACCCCTACTCAGAGTACTGTTTTTCTAATCAGAAAGCAATCAGATCTTGTAAAGTAAGTAACTGATCTACACAGGGTCTAAAAGAAGAATTTACTTCATAATTGTAGTATAAGTCAGGTACTCAGTATTTACTACATGAATAATGAATGAATGAATAAATGAATGAGCAAATGACTACTGTTAACTTGCCGGTTTACCTATTATACATGCCAGTACTATTTTCTTATCAGGTTAAGTTCATCAGTGTAAGTGTTAAATTATTCCATGTTCACACTTATTTTTGCTATTGAGATAAATTTATGTTTTGTTTATGAAAACATGTCCTGGAATTTCTTATCTAAATTTGTATGACTTCATTTGTATGAATTCCCTCTTTTATATTTTGTTCCTTTCTCTAAGAATGGATATAAAATAAAAGGCAATTTATGTAGATTGTCTGTGGGTTTAGGATTGTGAATTTATTTTTGCTTAAGCAATTTAATCTACTGTGTATATCAAACAAATGATAATTTTTCAAGACAGTGATATACAATAAAACATAATTTATACTCATACCGAATATTATTTTATCCACTTGGATAATTTATAAAATGTATCCAGTTTTTGCAATGCCTTAAGTGCTATTATAAAAATTATCACTGCCGAAATTAGTGGATAGAGCGTCGGCCTGCGAACTGAAAGGTTCCAGGTTCGATTCCGGTCAAGGGCATGTACCTTGGTTGCGGGCACATACCCAGTAGGGGGTGTGCAAGAGGCAGCTGATCAATGATTCTCTCTCATCGATGTTTCTAACTATCCCTCTCCCTTCCTCTCTGTAAAAAAAAAAAAAAAAAAAAAAAAAAAAAAAATATATATATATATATATATATATATATATATATATATATTTTTTTTTTAAATATCACTGAACACTCTGGGTGAATTAACATTTTTTGAACCATCTAATGCATTGGGTTCTGAATAAATGGAATATTGTGATACAATCCTAACTTTACCATTTACCAGCTGCATAAAGATGGGTAATTCTCTAGCTAATCCCCTGTAAAAAGAAGATAAAATAATAATAGTCTTAATCTCAGGGAGTGAAGATTTGGAGAAATAATGCATCTAAAGTGAATATCATAGGACATAGTAAATGATCAATAAAAGTTAGTTATCATCATCATCATCTACTACATCATCATGCAAACCAGGTTAGTTCATTATTTGTCTTTATCATCTCCATTGTATTCAAGTTGCTTTTCTTTTTTAAAAAAATATTTTTATTGATATTTTTTATATATATAGCAAGGAAGGGAGAGGGATAGTTAGAAACATCGATGAGAGAGAAACATTGATCATCTGCCTCCTGCAGACCCCCTACTGGGGATGTACCCAGAACCAAGGTACATGCACTTGACTGGAATTGACCCTGGGACCCTTCAATCAGCAGGCCAATGCTCTATCCACTGAGCCAAACCAGTTAGGGTTGCTTTTCTTTTAAGTAACTGTTTTTAATTCTATAGTTAAGTATTTTAGCTCTTTAATCTTATATGAACTTAATTTACATTTTAAATCCTGAAATTTATTCACCCTCTCCTTACCGTTAGCTTTCCCTCCATTTGTCCCCTGATCAGGTTGATCCTTCATAGTCTTGCTCTTGAAATAATCAAAAGTCATATCCAAATTCATTCCAAGAATGAGAAAGTCAAGCAGTCAAGGACTTCTACAAAGTAAAAATGTCTGAGGTTTTGCTGGAGTGTTTAAATAGCTACTGCTATCTAATAGAATGACTCAATCATTGGTAGGAGGAAGGGAAGGCTTTGCTTCATATTTACTGACGCAAATTCTTGGGTTATTTCTATTGCAGGAGGGGAAAGTGGTGATTCTGAGTGTTTCAGGATATTTCACTAAGTAATTTATGAAAGGAAAAACTGTATTTTCCAAGAGCATTAGAGGAGAGGAATTTGTACCCACTCTTCAGGCAAGGAAACTGAAACTCAAATTAGTAAGACACATTAAATTTTTTGGGAAAGTGTGCATGTAGACCAGCAGTGTATCTCAACACTGTATCTTCTATAAGTCTCATATTTTCCTTTTTAATTTTGACTTTTAATTGGCAATAAGACAGGAATTCTTGAATTCTTTATTACGTATGGCTCATACCATCAGCCATAATGACCTGGTAACCTAAGTGATTTTCAAATTTAATTAACGGTACTATTCAGATAGAGACAGTATAACATAGGAGCAGAGAAAACTTTTAAGTCAGATGGAGCTAGCTTCAAATATTTCCTTGGCTAATCCTTTGATCTATAAGCTTGGGGAATTACTTAACATTCTGAACTTTATCTTTGTCTATAAATTGAGACATGTTATTGGGATTCAAATGGAATCTTGGGTGAAAATGCCAAGCTTTGTACTTCAAGTACAATGATAATCCAATTATTAATAATTATTAATATCAATAATAGTAATATTCAACACAGATGAATTGCTTGTCAAAAAATTTTGTTTTATATGTTATTGACTTGACTCCCCATAAGGATGCCTATATGTGTTTACTGATAGAACTCTTACCTATTGTCCCTCTATAACTTCTTAACCATAAAAGAAAAATATTATGCTAAGAGAACTGTATTTTTGAGAAGAGGCCTAAGATTGAGCTAAATCTCTCAGACATTCTTCTCCATAATTCACCAAATCCAAGGAGAACATAATCATTCATTTTCTTTTGGGTCAATAGTCATGGGAAGCTCACATAAGCTGTCCAATATCTGGTGATGAGTCCTACAAATCCTTCAAACACAGTTCTTTTTTTTATTTAAAAATATCTCCTCAAAAAAAAAAAAATCCTCTCTACAGGTAAAATTACCATCATTAATTTCTTTTCTCCCCTCATTTTATATGTCTCACAGTGTATGCATTGAATTCAATTCTGTTAATGTTATTCCTCCTCACCAACAAAATGACAAGTCCTTTAAAAGTAAGGAGAGATCCCTTTTTATTGATAAATTCATTCTTTCCTACTACACTGGCATACCATATAAACTGTACAATAGTTAGCAAAAAGTAGACAATCAATAGGTGAGATTCTTAGCTATAAACACATACACAGCATAAGCTGGGTTTTAATTTAGCAAAAGTCTGTCTCAGTTATTTTATTTTGAGGAAGTGGAACTGAAGTCCAAACAGTTTAGGATTGCTGAATGTCTCGTCTCTATCAGATGCCAGACAAAAACTCGGCTCACAAGTTTTTCAATGATGCCAGTTAATAAAAAAAAACAAAGGTGACAGATGAAAGATAGATTCAGTATGAACATCTGCTGAAATAATTCAGTAAGAGATTTTTCAGATCACCAAGGCAGAGACTACCCACTCCATAGAAGACTTCAAAAGTACAGTGTGAGGTAGAGAACACACACATGAAGGTTACCCTCATATTTTTTTCTTGACTTCCCTCAACCTAGAAGCTCACATTGAGGAGCCACAGCATGGAGGGTTTAGACATTAGTCACAGTCTTCTGGGTGAGCTGGCTCCTTAGCATAGCTTCTTTTTTTGCTTTTTCCGATTCAAACCTGATAGAAACAAGCAGTTCCTCTCTTTGTTTATTTGTGGTAAAACTTACAAAAAACTTTTATCATTTTAACCACTTTTAGTGTACAGTTCAGGGGCATGAAGTACATTGTTTTGCCACCATTGCCACACTTCATCTCCATAACTTTTTCATCTTCTCCAACTGAAATTTGATACTCATTAAACAATAACTCCTATGATGGTGAATTTTATCTGTCAACTTGTCTGGGCCATGGGTGCCCAGATATTTGGTCAAACATTCTTCTGAGTGTTTCTTTGAGGTTTTTTGGGTGATAATATCTTAATCACTTGAGTAAAGCATCTCTCCCTCCATAATGGGCTTCATCCAATCAGCTGAAAGCCTACATAGAACAAAAGGCTGATCTTACTCCAAATAAGAAATTTTTCCCTCTGATAGCCTTTGGATTGGAACTACATATTAATACATCATTTTCCCAGGTCTCTAGTCTGCTGGGCCTGCACTACATATTTAGATGTGCCAGCCTCTACAGTTGCATAAGCCAATTTCTTATAATCAATCGCTTTCTCAATATACTCATCCTATTGGTTCTGTTTCTTTGGAAGACCCTAATTAATTCCTTTCTTCTCCCAGTACCTGGAAACTACCATTCTATTCTCTGTCTTTATAAATTTGATACTCTAGGTATCTCATATAAGTAAAAGTATATGTTTGACTTACCGTATTTTCCGGCGTATAAGACGACCCCCTAATTTTACAGTTAAAACATAGGTTTAGGCCTATATTTGCTGTATAAGACTACCCCCCACTTCTGAGGCAACACCAGTTCTTTTTTTAATAGACCGCCTCTCTAACTCTGGCCAATCTGAGCAGGCTTTTTTTCGGTTCAAAAGTCGTCTTATACGCCGGAAAATACGGTATTTCACTTAATGTAATATCTTCACGGTTCATCCAAGTTGTAGCCTGTGTCAGAATTTCCTTCCTTTTTAAGGTTGAATAATGTTTCATTGTATCTATAGACCACATTTTTTCAACCATTCACCTATTGATGGATATTTGTGTTTCTCCTGTTTGTAAAAATCCAAGGGGATAATTTCTATAATCCTTGTGGGGCAGATAGCTGGACAGATTTAACAGATTTTAAGTGGTTCTCATTATCCCTGCCTCCCAATGTTCATGCCCTTGAATGTGGGTGGGAATTGTGGAGTGTGTATGTGACCATGTGTATGGGATCACAAAAGGAATAGAGCCTAAACTTTCTCTCCCTCTTCTCTTTCTCTGCCTGAATTTAGATTTTAAAAACTTACCTGAATCCCACTACCACAAAGAAATGAATTTGCCAGAGAGAGCTTGGAAGTGTATTCCTCTCCAGTTGAGCTTTCATATGAGAACCCAGTAGACCAGACACCTTGATGGCAGTCTGTAAGACCCTAAGCAGAGTACCCACTTAAGCTATGCCCATGCTTCCACAGGCAATGTGAGATAATAAATGATGTTTATATTGCTGTTCATGTAATTTGTGGTAATGTGTTACATGGCATATAAAACTAATAATCTTGTGATAAAGTTTATTCTCCTTAAATTTAATCTATCACTGACTTTCAATGCCTTTGAGGTTGCCACTGAATACTCAGGCTATAATCTTAATTCCTTCCATAGAGATACTTCCTAGTGGAGTGGTTGCAAGATGAAACTGGGTTCTTCTTCCATGTTATGCATTTTTGAAGCCATAGTGATTGCTTATTGCTTAGCTCTTTGTAATTCATGCTTGATGCTTCGGAGTAATGATAGACCTGGCCTCTATTTCACTGAGGCAAAGGGAGGAAGAGAATCTGGTCACCTGACTTAGACAAGGTCAAAAGGAGAATAATCAAAGGAACCAGAAATAAGTAATTCTTTAACCCCACTTGTTACAGCTATTGTATAACAATTCCCTGAAGCATAGATTAAAAGCTTGTGTACATGTGCCCTCTATTTGTTCCACTCCACGTCCCTAACAACTTATGTCTAAGCTAATGATTCACAAGCTTAATGGAACTACAAGATTGTGTAGCATTGTAATGAGATCAGTTTCCTTTATTTCAGCTACCTGCTTGTCATTGGGTACCTTCTTCAATCTTTCCTCCTGAATCCTCTTTCCTCTCCAATGGGGCTGACCTCACAAGGAATAATCACTTTGATAAGCATAAACATAAATCTCTATTTCTTCAGGAAATAATCCAGTAAGGGGGAAAAAAAGTGGCAATAATAATTCTAAAAAAGGACAAGTAGCTAGAAGGTCATTAACCGAATCCCATTTGGTTGAAACCTATTAAGTAGCTGTAGGGCAAAAAGGTGATGGTAGTCACATGACAGAAAAATGCTCTGGGAGGGGAAAAAAGGTCATATTAATTGGCAAACCTGTTCTTGTGGGTGAAGGCTGGAATGACTGAGAAAAGAGATGGCCAGGATAACAAGGGGAACTATTCATGAACTGAAATGACAGAATCGGTAAAACTTGGTCATGGTAACAATGAGAAGCATGGTGGACATCAGTTATCCATGAAGGTGAAGGTCATTGGTAAAAGTGAGTGGAAATCAAGGTTATTGTAGTTAACATTTATAATACTTCTTTTATTGGGACAATTATATGCATTTCTGACACATTAACTTATTTAATCTATATAAATCTATGAAGAAACATCATCATTATTATTGTCGCTTCATTTTATATGGAATGAAACTTAACCAACAAAGAGACGTAATAACTTGCCCAATATAACACAGCTAGTAAGTGACAAAGCAAGTATTTAACCCCAGAAAATCTACCTGGATTCCTAGCCATAATTCAATACTGTCTTTCTGACAAGAAAAAGAGAAAGAACCCTGATTGGGTGCCATCCTGTACCTAGAGAGGTTTCTAGTCAAGGCACATACACAGTTTGCAGGCTTGATCCTAATAGGGGGTGTGTAGTGGGCAGCCGATCAATGTTTCTCTCTGCCTTTCCTTTCCCCTCTCTCTAAAACCAATAAAAACATAAGTTTTTTTAAAAAAGAGTGTTTTCTCTATTTAAAAAAAAAAAAAAAGATAAAGGGTTAATCGTGTTACCCATGTTCATGGAAAGAAATATAATCAAAATGCCT